TAGAAAGGCACACCATACTTCAGCTGGCCTGTCTAGTAAATAATATAGTGTGTTTATGGGGAGGTGTTGTGTGCTACATTCTTGTTTCTGCAAAACTCTGGAGGGTAAGGGGCTCAAGGTCATGAATGGAGGCTCAGGGACTCAGGGTCATGAATGGAGACTCAGGGGCTCAAGGTTATGGATGGCCTCCAGCTGTCTATTCATTGTAAGCAGACAGACACACACACACACACACACACACGCTCGCGTGCGAGTGTGTGTGTGTGTGTGTGTGTGTATTTGACAACAGGATGTGCTGCATTTTGCTGTTCAACACCTTTATTTCTTAATTGCCTGGTTTCAAAATTGTGAAATCTGCATTTGATGTTCAAAGCTAAGTTGTATCATGCAGGGCATTTTTAAACCCAGAACATGATGCCTGAAGTGTGACATCAACATTTTTGGAATGTTTTTTGTGGACACAAAATCCTGAGAAATTTTTTCTTAACTATCTACCGAGCAAAGGACATTGTCAGCTGAATGTTTTGACATTTGCCTGTTATCCTAGCAGCTCAAGAGGCCAAGGCAGGATGATTGTGAGTTCAAAGCTAGCCTCCACAACTGCAAGGCCCTAAGCAACTCATTAAGACTCTGTTTCTACATAAAATACAAAATAGGGCTGAGGATGTGGCTCAGCGGTCATATGCCAATGAGTTCAATCCCCAATCCCCTTCCAAAAATAAATTAAGTAAATAAATAGATAGATAGATAGATATTGACAAAGGACAGTGATGTTCATCTAAGGTTATGGGGGCGGGGAGAATTTCCTAGCTCAGAGCTGAACACTTTCTCTAGGTGTTTTAAGTCCTACATAAAATCAGTCAAAAACTTTTTCCTCATTGTTCTTGTTTTTGGAGTCATACTGGAAATCTGTGACAGAGACAGATGGACAGACACAGGGTAAGTATAAAATTTTCTGTAATTAAACCTTATTGTAGACACTCAATTCTCAAGTCTTTGCTTGGAATTCAGATTTCTTTTCTGTATTATAATAAAACATCCAGATTTGATGCTCCGTGCATTTGAATAGCATAAGCAAAGGCTGATGCAGCAAGAACAGATTGTCATTTATATTCTGTGACCCAGAATTCCTTTATGAATCAGCTATCTCTAACAGAATGACAAATCTAGACAATTAGAATGTTGATAAGTTCTGACTTCAGATCAAATTGATTCCAGAAATTTTATTGCCCAGAATTCATTCATTTTACGATTCTCTGAGTTTTGATGCTTATTTATTATTCTTGCATTACTCAGAGACAGAATCCAATCATCTAATATGTTTGTTCTTAAGGAGTAAAAACTTCAGACTAGTTGTTCAACTAAAAAAAGTATTTTAATTTCATGGTAAACCAAATCTAAATACTCCTTTCTAAGCTTTTCCATTATCAAATTGAGTTTTATTTCAAAATACACATTTCACTATGTATTTGTGTTTTACAAAAAACAGTCTCAGCAAACACAATAATTAAAAGACATTTATCTACAGAGATTTGTAAAATTTGAATTTTTCATTTTTGTCAAGCTCCAATAATATTTGATAATACCATTTATGATGCTTTCATGAACAAAATTATATTACAAAATAGGTGTATGTCACTCTACCCTAATAAAAATGGACATGATACATATATCATTATTTAAATGTTTATCTACCTTTACCTCTCAGTATATCCTACAAGTATTATTCTAAATAAAGCTTAAAAAATAATGCACACAAATCCAGCAGAACTTTGAGACTCAAATGATCCTCCTGTTTCAGTCTCCCAATAAGCTGGGACCACAGGTATGCCCCCTGACTTTGAGGATCCTTCACACACACAAAAAAAAAAACCTTTTCAAAATATTATCTAATTCTGTGCATAAGTCTATACAGCATTAAGTGATCAGGCAACATGGATTTGATAGAAACAGTAGTGGCTCAGTTTAAAAAAATATGTTTAAAACTTGAGTAGGTCATACCTGTAATCCCATTACAGAACCTTTTTCTGACAAAGGACTATATCCAGTCCTACTAAATGTACTTCTACAACTCAGTAATAACAGGACAACTCAACAAATAATAGACATGATCCAAATCTATTCTTCACAGAAAAAGAATGACTGGCCAATAAAAGACAGTCAAATGTTGTCAACTTCATTAGTCAACATGGAAGTACAACCCTAAGCCACAATGAGATACCACTATATACCCAGCAGAAATGGCTAAGGTATGAAGACTTACATCACTAAACAATGTGAAGATATGCAGCAACTGGAACTCTCATATATTGCTCATGAGAATGTTCAGAATTTTTGACAGTTTCTTTTAAAAGAAAACGAAGATCTACCTTATGTGGTAGCCATTCCACTCTTTGAGTTATTTACCTAAGTGAAATATACATACATACACATATATGTGTGTATACACACACATATACACATACACATACATATTTTTCCCCAATACATCTAGTAAGATAAAGTTCAAAGCCTGGAAAATGCTCACATATCCTTCAATGGAAAAAAATAAATGCACTATGATATATTCATAAAATGAATACTACTGCAGTAATAAAATAGAAAACAAAACAAAACACTGATTCAAGCAACATGAATGAACCTCAAAAGCATATTGATTCAGACACAGAGTGTAAGATCCCATAACTTTCTTACTCATCCTAATAAGACTCACATCCATAATAAGAATTAAGTAATTCAGACTTGAAGACGGCACCAGAAGATCTCAGAAATGAATATCTCCTAAATCAACAAGTGAGTTACAACTCCTGAACAGAAAATAGGTGGAATGTAGCCTTTGAATTGTATCTTTAAAAAAAAAAAAACCTATTCCTCCTGATGGGCAGAATCAACAGCCTCTGGAACAAGAGTCCCATTGTTTCTCTATTGCTAGGAAAACAATAAAACTTCTCCTTCAATTTTTACTAAAACAAACAAAAAACAAAAACAATAACAAAAAAGTGTAAGTACCCATTATGTTTCTAGGTTGAGGCTCAATGGTAGAATACTTGCTTGTATGTGTGAGGCATTGGGTTTGATTGTCAGCACAGCATATAAATAAACAAAATAAGGATCCAGTGACAATTAATTTTTAAGAAGAATTAATTTATACAAAATTCTAAAAAGACAAAGTAAAACACTCAATGGTAGGATAAAACAGAATCCTGCCTTTAATCAGTAGGAAAAAATCAATTAGAAGGGACACAAGGGAACTTTCTCAGGTGTGGTTTAACATTCTTTATCTTGAAAGCAGTTTAGATTATAATGATTTATTGAAAGTCAACCACATTTGACTTAAAATGCATTTCATTGTATGAACATTTCAGAACAAATGAATAATAAACACTGAAATATAAATGATATACAAATAAGTGTATGCATGTGTGCCTACACACACATATGCCAGAGCAGTGACACTCAAACAGCAATGAACTCATATAGAACTCAGATTCAGGATTCTAAGTGCTAGGCCCACATTAAAAGGAACCAGGGCTTTTAGAGAAACAACTAATACCAGAGTTTGAACAGCCAATAAAGAGTACATTGAACCTGAAATATCTACTGTCAAAAGAAAGTACTCCATAAAGGCAAATACCACATATTCTCATTTACATGTGAAATGAAAAATAATAAAATTAAAAGAAGCATAGAGTAGAATGGTGTTACCAGACGCTGTGGCATGGGAGACATGGGAAGAAAATGGTCAAAGCATACAATATCTCAATCAGACAGAAGGAATAGATTTTTCTGTTTTTTGAGAACTATTGCACACCATGGTAAATAAATAATAATATGCTATACATTTCAAAATTACTAAAAGAATAAATTTCAAATGTTCTCACCACAAAAATACTCTGGTATTTAAGATGATGTATATGTTAGTAAGCTTATTTCACACTGTGTATATAAACTATAACATCTCCTCATACATCATAAATATATACAACTAAAATTTGCCAATTTATACTTTAAAAAATAAACAAACAGGAAAGTAAAGTGTTCAAACAATGGCCCAAATTGAGAATCCAACTTAGATTTCATACTACTCATATCTGGCACAACTTGAAAATCTAAATAATGAAATAATGGATTACAGCCCACTGAAGAAAATAAGTTTCAAGAAGTCTATATTAAAATAAATGTGAGTAAATTTAAAGCACGATAATGACTAAGATATAGAGTCCCCAAATACCCTACAAGTCATTCATTAATCACAAAATGGAAAAGAGTAACTCACAAATGAAAGGCCTAGCAGACAACTCCTTAATCAAGTACTTAAAATGAGCATAACCACTAAAAAAACAAATTGAGTACTATATATCATGCTACATAATAGGACTAAAGCACTGATCAAGAATTAGGTTATGGTCCTGGTTTTTGTTCTAACCTAGCCTGAAGAAATAAATATAAACCTGTACATGAGGATGATTAGTCAAAACTACCTACACTTAAATACTATTGGCTACCCCAAAGTAGTAATGGGCATATATTGCTTCATACTGCCAACAACATAGACCTACCTGGTGGCTGCACTCACACTTCTTCATGATAGAAGCAGTGTGTACTATCTAAGCATTTCCTCCTTCCTCTTTCATTCAGGTCAGAGTTCATTATCACCACACAGCCCACTTTCAAATTCATTCCCTCTCCTTACAAAATTGGACTACATATGGAAGAAGGTCAGTTTACTACTTGAGAACCTGGTGCACTAGTGAGATGACAATCACTCCACCCAGTGTTTCAAAAAGCCATGACTTGATATGTGCAATAAGGGAGTCAATGTCTACTTTTAAGAATCAGGAAATGAGAAAATCTGAAATTCTGAATGCATATGAGAAAACAGGAGAGATGCATCCTAAGAATGCCCCTCAAACTGGAAAGATCACGTTGGATAAACTGTCCCGTTTTCTGCTCCTGAAGGCGATTCCAGGTTGGAAATCACAGCCAGAGAAGAAACTCACCACATTTCATGGGGGGAATCTTGTGTGAAGGCCGCACATCCCTTCCTGGAAGCCACAGGCCTGGAGAGCCACCTCAGGAACTGTACAGCGAGCGTGATGACGGACACTTCACCCTCTGAAACAGCCCACTAGGGACAAGGAAGGAAAGGCAAGCCTCCTGAATGAGAGGACCACCCGGAGAGGCCACCCGCCTGGGGGACACCCCAATCACTCATCCAAAGCACGTCCCATCCCGCGGGAGCCCACCAGCCCCTTGGCGCTGCGGCCTCTCTGCCTCCCTGGCCACCCGCTGCTGCCCGCTCGGCCTGCCATCATGGGCCCAGGCAGGCGCAGTACCTGAGAGGACAGCCCGCTCTTTGTGAGCGCCTTCCAGGCCTGACTTCCTGCAGGCGTCCGCGTCCTTCTCCCAGTGCCCTTCCGCTTCTCCAGGTCTCACGATTCCACCGCCACCCGCCAGTTGCACCGCCACTGAAGCACCACGTTCCCCACGTGAGGCTGCGACACCCAGAGACAAGATCCTGGCCTTCGTGAGTCTGCGCCCCTTGGGCTGCCTGAGCGCGCCGACGGCGGGACCAGAGTGCCGCCTGGAGGCCTGTGGAGGGCATGACACCCACTCCAACCACACCCCACCCTCCACTGGTTGCAGGGATAACTTCTGCTCCAGTCCTGCTCTATTCTAGTTCATCCCTGCGAGGGTGACCACTTTTGCATCCATTACCCTACCTCAGACCTTTCTCTGTTCATTTAGTTCTACCCTGCTCCAGCAGACTAGCAACAAGGAGTTTGATGAAACTGTTGAAAATTTTGAAAGAAGGAAAGGAAACATTCCTGCACAGTTCCACTTATTAAATTCCCATTTTATTAGAGACAGGGTCTTGGTTGCTCCTAGCCTCACTAAGTTGCTGAGGCTGGCTTAGAACTTGAGATTCTCCTGCCTCAGCCTCCATAGTGGCTGAGATGACCAGCATGTTCTACCACACCTGGCAGAGCATAGGTTTTATTGTATTTGAAGAGAAAAACTGAAAAGTCTCAAAAAAAGTATATGGAGGTATAGTTTTCTAGTCTTGTATCATTGTGATTTTATTTTTATAAATACAAACATCCCAGTGGCACTTTTCCAAGTCATTCAAGCAAATCATCAGTCCTCTGTGAAGTCTTACAAATACTAGTTTTTCTTGAATATTGTTGGCCACTTTCCTGAGGGTCCCAGTGTGCAGACTTGAAGGCGCTTCTGGTTTGCCTTCCCCCTTTCTCCTATAGACTCATCAAAAAATGTTCATCTGCATTTGAAGTTGAATTCATAGGAAAAAAGCATTATCAGCATTTTTGACATGATCCATTATCAGCTTTGTGTTAAAAGTTGACAACAGTGTCTATTTCTGGCTTCAGGCATAGCCACATGCTTTCCTGTTTATGCATTTTAAGTTGCATTTCAATTCCTGGATAAATTTTTATGATGCTACGTTTGTGGAAGATAATTTCTTCAATAGGGAGAAGAAATTATCTTCCACAAACGTAGCATCATAAAATATCTTTGAATGTCCCAATACATTTTGTCTCCATATCCTGGAAGTTTCCTCCACAAACATTGGTGTTTGTGACTTACTTTCCCTAAAGTTTCTAGGGCATCTTCAATCCTATAGTGATTGTGTATTTATAATCTTGGTCAATCCCATTGCCACTATCCCTTGCATGAATTTAATTACCTGAATATTAGACCACTTGAGACTGAAATTGTCAACCCAGTCACTGAGGTAGCATTTACTATTTCAGCCATAGATGCCAAATATGCTTTTCAGCTCCTAAAAATCCATTTATCCTTCTGAGTTTCTCCAATAAACATCACTATGTTTATATTTTCCTTTAAATATTTAAAAGCATTTCTAACGGCAGTTTTAAAGTCCTTGTCTGCTAAATGCATCAACTCTGTCACCTCCAAATTTCTATTTAAGGATGTTTTTTTTTTCTCTTCTCAAGGAGTTATATGTTATTTAGTAATGTATTTAATTTCCAAATATTCAAAAATTTTCTGGGTGTGTTACTGTTACCAATTCCCAATTTGATAATTCTATGATCACAGAAAATACTTTGTATGATTTTATACTTTCAGACTTTTATTCCAGTTTATCTTACTGAATACTCCAGGTACACTTTATTCCAGGTTCTGTAGTTCTTGGATGTAGTGTTTTATAAATGACAATTTAGTCACATTGGATGATAATACTGTTCAAATCTTCCATATCCTTATTGATTTTTCACCTACTTATTCTACCAGTGTTTTGAAAGTAGCATAGTCAAGTCTTGAACTATGATTTTGGATTTGTTTCTGTTTGTCATTTGTCAAATTTGCTTTATGTGTTTGGTTTTATTAATTCTGTACACATTTGGAATAACACATTGTGTTGTTTTTCTGGAATAAAATTGTCTCCTGTATGATTACACATGGCCCTTTTTGATATCTGGTAAAAGTTTTATCCTTGAATTGTCCTTTCTTCAATGTTGATGTAAATACTGCACTTTCTTATGCTTAGTGTTTGTGTAATATATATTATTTCATTCTTTTTATCCAAACTTTTTATTTCCTATTAATATGATGTAGTTAGGGTTTTACCATTTCATTGAGGAATATGGTAGACTGAACCCTCCCATCCCAGGATGTTCATTTTCAAATCCCCTGTGACCTATGAATAAGTATTGCATATGACAGGGGGGGACTTTGAAGGTGTGATTCAGTTGGGGATATGATCCTTTATTATCCAGTTGGGGATATTATCCTTTATTATCAGTTTATCTCAGGTCATTATAAGGGAAAGAGGGAGGCAGGAGAGTCAGAAAGTGTGATGCGATGAGTGTGGCTGAGGTCAAGGTGCTATAAGGCTATTAGCAAGGGTGGCAGCCACCTCTAGAAGCTGAAAAAGGTAAGGAACTGGATTCTCTGGAGCCCCTGTAAAGACAGAGACCTGCTAACACTGTGATTTTAGTCAACTAATAGCACTGGAAACTTCTGATCTCTAGAGCCATAAGAGCATACATTTATGTTGTTTAAGCCATTATTATTATTATCATTATTATTATTTTGACAATTACATATAACAACAGTCAGAAGTTAATATGGAGCTTAAATTGTTTTATTTTAATGTGATTATTTATAGTACTTTAGATTTAAATCTCTCATGTTGATTTTGTTTGTCCCATCAATTATTTTTTCTCTTTGCTTATTATTGGCTGCTTTGGAGAAGACACAGGAGAAGAATTGATATATTTAGAATTCCATGATCTCCTCTATTGGCTTTCCATTTTTGCTTTTTTGTTAATTGTTTAGGATTGCAGTAGAAATGGCATTTTTTAAGGTTTATGAATGTCTGGGTTCAAAAATATGCTATTCAGGAATTATTAAGAACACTACAAAAAATCTTGCTTGGAATTATTCTGAGCTTCTCAGATCTGTGATTGATTTGCTTTAAGTAATTTTAAGGAATTCTTTTGTTTCTTCTCATACTGGAATCCCAGTTAAACGAACACTTTGGACATCTGAGATTATTCTATACATCTTCATGCCCTGTTCCATTTTATTTTTCATCTTTTTTTCTCTTTATGTTTTGATTCACATAATGACTGTTTCCATGTTGGTTGATTCTGTTCTCTTCTTTCTATGTCTAGTATGTTAATAACCATGATTTCATATCATCCCATTAATGTGTGGAATGAAAAACTCTAAAAAATTCCTTTCAGAAAGGAAATGAACATACTGACAAAAAATAGCCAGTACCTACTTTTTCAAAACTCTGAAAATTAACCAAAGGCTTGCAGCAATCCTGGAGCATTTAGAAAATTTGAAGACCCTCAGCAATGCATCAAGGCATTTTTATTTATCCTCCCTTTCCTACAACTCTACAATCATCTCAAAAACTGGCATCCCATATGTAGGTTCCAGCCTGAAGCCTGCCAGCCACTGGAGGGGGCAGAAAGGGCTTGGAGCTCTTCCACGGCTCCCAGGCCCCAATTCCTAGGGAATTGCCATCATTGTTCCTGGTGACTGACTGTCACACCCCACTCACAAGATTGTTTATTTAACTGGACTCAGCAGTTGCTCATTGCAAACCCCCATTACAATGGTGGCATTTCTCAAAAACAACCACAGGCAATTGCTGAATGCTATAGCTACCTGAGATGGATAGCAGATGAAGCCAACTATAGGATAACAGAAAGCTTGGGAAGAAAAGGTAAGGGGTTGCTATGGTGGGGCACATCTCTAATACCAGCAACTTGGGAGCCCGAGGCAGGAGTATAACAAGTTCAAGGCCAGCCTCAGCAATTTAACAAGGCCCTGAGCTAGTTAGTTATATTTCTATGTTTGCTATTTTAATTGGCATTACATTTGAATGCTTTTTTTTTTGCCTTTTTAAGAGAATTTTATTTGAGTGGTTCTTACAAAGATTGTTGCAATATGAAAGTCATTTGTTTGATATAAATATCAAGCTGTCTTGTCAAACACACTGAAGTAACCCAAAAATATATTTCAGAGCTCACAGAGCTTAAAAAGAGCAAAAAATATATGCAACCAGACAAAACCTATTTCTGCATTTCCTATTTCTTGCTGAGACTTCTTTGCCTTACCAGACTCTTGACTAAGCATATTCAGGAAATGCAGTGATCATTTTGTTTGGAATCTTAATATACACCAAAACACATAATATTTACAAAGAAACTTTTACAGATACATTAATTGAAAAGAAACCATCAAGAAATATAATTTTGAAATCTCCCTTTCTTGCCAAATGATCAAAATGCAAGATGAGATGCTAGCCAAACAGCCCTTTACCTGGCTTGAATCCCCATACACTAAATGTGTATTCCAGAAACCTCTGATAAACCATGAGTAAAATATCAACATTAGTGAAATGTGAAATGTAACCTGGGTAAGAAGTTAGGCTTCTGAAACATTAAAAACATCATTACAGACCTGTCTGCCTTTATACAGAAAGCACACACTTGTTCCCCTAGAGCTATTCCTAAAGATCCTTAATGTAATTTTCTACATGAACATTTTAAAAGGCAGAATGAGAACAGCTTTGTATACAGTGGGATTTGCTACTTAGGGAGAATGAGCACACTGCATTCCTGTTAACATTTTCATTTTTTCAAGGTAACAGGAATTGCATACAAATGACAGTAGACCCTGTCCTCTTTATTTTTATCTAAATAAAAGATGACTCAAGATGAATTCTCAAGGAAAAAAGCTATGTAAATAAGGGACTATATCTTCCTTCATCATGTACTTGGAACCAGTAGTTGTGTTGCTGTCATAGAATCAGGGAAGAGGTTGTGGTAAGTTGGAAGAGGTACATAGGCTGCTGTTATCATTTTACCAGCAAACCACCTGCCATGCAACGCATTGACAGCAGCAATAGCTGCAGCAATTGAGGGGCACTTCACATACACATTGCCCTGAGCAGAATTCTTGTCAATATAAATATGAATGACTCCACAATGTTTATTACATTCTTTAATCACATCATCCTTAATCTCTGTATCCCATCCAACTTGTTCTTCTGTTTGAGGGT